AGCCCCACCTTCTCAACCCACGAGTCTCCCGAGGAAGCCGAGTCTCCCGAGAAAACTGTGCAGCAGTGAGTCCCCGGAAGGTTCCGGGACCGGGCAGGGACTTCAACCCAGGAGTCTCCCGAGGAAGCCCTGCAGCAGCGAGTCCCCAGAAGGTCCCGGGACGGGGCCAGGACTCTGCATTCCCAGGATGCGTAGCAGGAAACTCCCCAGGCCCAGCTGGAACCCTGCGACTCTGTTCCACAAGCAGGTGCCCACTTTTGTAGAGACACCTCTTCTAAGAGGTCGGTAGCCTCTGAGAAGATAAAGCCTACAGCTTTTGATGAGATCAACATCTGCGAGAGGTTGGTTGATTGATTGATTGATTGATTGAGATGGAGTCTCTGTCGCCCAGGCTGGAGTGCAGTCTCAACTCACTGCAACCTCCAACTCCAGGGTTCAAGCAATTCTCCTACCTCAGTCTTCTGAGTCGCTGAGATTACAGGCGCGCACCACCACGCCCTGCTAATTTTTGTATTTTTAGTAGAGACGGGGTTTCGCCATGTTGGCCAGGATGGTCTCAAACTCCTAGCCTCAGGTGATCCGCCCACTTCGGCCTCCCAAAGTGCTGTGAGCCATGGCACCTGGCCAAACGGCCACCTCATGACAGGAGTGGCAAGGCTGCCGCAGAACAGCAGGTAGGACAGGAGAATGGCTGTGGTAGCTGCAGAAAGGGTATGTGCCACTCCCTGGCTTTCTTTTCTCATCTGAAGCCCACCCTGCTATTGCATCTTGACAGAAGGTTCATGATAGGCCAATGTGAGCCCTCGTACGTCTGTAAATTTCTTTATTCCTTGTTGACCGTTTGGCTTGGTATCGAATTCCAGCTTGGAGATCAGACATTTCTTTAGGAACTGAGGAGGTGCCACGGCTTGCCAGCTCCAGTTTGGAGCTCATGGCCATTCTGGTTCTTATTCTTTGTGTGGAAACTGTTCTATCTCTGCAGGCTTTTAGGGTCTTCTCTGTGACACCAGTGAAAAATTCCCAGGGAGGTGTTAGGGTGTCCTCCCCTGAACAGGACTCGTGGGTCCTCCAATCCTGGGACCGTCTTTAGCTCTTTATGATGTTCTCCCTCTGTTTTCTTGGTTCTCTTTTTTGGAATTCCAACACTTTGGTCTAGAGTCAGTCCTCTCTGTTATCTTCTCAAAGCCCCTTGTAATTTTCCTTCCTACAACTCATGAGTCTACAGTCAGATATTAGGCATCACACGGAGAACCGTACGAGTGCTCAGGTCTCTCAGTGAGGAGAGGTGCCTGAATGAAGAAACAGATATGCGGGCACCAGGCTAGGAAGTCCTCTAGGTGGGGGGTGAAGAGCTGTTGAAGATTCAAGGGCAGGGCAGTTAAGTGCCCCCAAGTTTCTTACAGGATTAGTAGTATAAATTGTATGGTGTGCAAATAATACTGTTTTTGAAACGACCTGTATCGCCCAGGCGCAGTGGCTCATGCCTGTAATCCCAGCACTTTGGGAGGCCGAGGCGGGGGTGGATTACAAGGTCCGGAGTTTGAGACCAGCCTGGTCAACATGGTGAAACCCTATCTCTATGAAAAATACAAAAAAAATTTAGCTGGGCGTGGTGGCACACGCCTGTAATCCCAGCTACTTGGGAGGCTGAGGCAGGAGAATTGCTTGAGCCTGGGAGTGGAGGTCGCACTGAGCCGAGATCGTGCCACTGCACTCCAACCTGGGTGATAGAATGAGACTCCGTGGCAAACAAAAAAGAACCTGCCCTCCATCTGGTTTCCCGTTCTGGGAGTGGTACCACCCATCTTTTCCCCCGTCTGCCTGGATGTCTTAGCACAGGGCCTGGTCTGCGGTGCTGGTCAGGTCTTGGAGACCACCCGTGCTTGTGATCCCACCACTAGCCCAGGGGAGAGGTGTGGACGGAGTGGAGTGGGATGTGGACCTCAAGCTGGAGGAATCGAGGAGGATCCGAGAAAGGAGCCTGACACAGACATGGGCAGGGTGTGGGGAGACCACAGGACAGAGCCGAGCCTGGCCACGGAGCCGGCGTCACCCAGGCCTGGGGTGTGGGCTCGATGAAGGAAGTCCGAACAATATCCTGACCTCAGCCCTCTCCCTGCCCTCTCCCTGCCTCCTGGAATTCCCTCCAGTTTAACCCTCCACCGACCAACAACCCAGGGAAGCTGCCTCGCACTCTCCAAATGCAGCAGCATCCGGAACTGAAAGCCGTTCACCTCTCAGGGCTGTGGGGTTTCAGACACTGATGGTTCCTGTGAAATACAGAACAGGAAATGGAGACTCTTCTTTTCCGTTTGTTTATTTATTTTAGAGATGAGGTCTCACTGTTTGCCCAGGCTGGTCTCAAGCTCCTGAGCTCAAGCGATCCTCCTGCTTCGGCCTCCTCCCATAGTGCGGGGATTACAGGTATGAGCTGCACGTCCAGCCTTCTCTTCCGATTCCCTAAAGCTGAACGGATCCACATTCCATCCCGTTTCCCGGCCCGACGGCCGTTCTGCTCCTACGTGACTGACCACAGAGGGAAGGAGCCCGGGCTTCCCAGACGGCCTCAGTTGTGGACTCTGTGGACGGCCTCAGGCCTGGCAGCCGCCAAAACCAAAACCCTCCTGGAAACCTACTGCATCGCTCGGTTGGACCTACCCGGTGGGGGGAGCCGAGGGGCACAGGTGCCCTCGGGATGGACCCACCCGGTGGGAAGTCAAGCAGCACAGGTGCCCTCGGGATGGACCCACCCGGTGGGGAGCCAAGCCACACGTGCCCATCGGGACAGACCTACCCGGTGGGGGGAGCCGAGGGGCACAGGTGCCCTCGGGATGGACCCACCCGGTGGGAAGTCAAGCAGCACAGGTGCCGTCGGGATGGACCTACCTGGTGGGGAGCTGAGCCACACGTGCCCATCGGGACAGACCCACCCGGTGGGGAGACGAGCGGCACACTTGCCGTGGGGATGGCGCCACTTTGGGACGTCACTTTTCTTGGGAACAGTTATCTTTTTCCCAGGGTCAAAGTAAACAACCTGCAGTCCTGGCAAACGGTAGTCTAGGACCTGTCAGGTTGGAAACTGACAACCAGACTCCTGGTCCTTCCTCACTCCACACAAAAACCAGCATTCTAAAGGAGCTCGGTTGTTCTACGTTCTGCTGAGGGGCCCTGACTTACAACAGAAACAAGCTAACAAGAGAAGTCATCCATCCATCCCCTTCAGCCCAGTTCATGGCACCCTGGGTGACCCTCAGACCAGGTGTCTGCCAAGCTCACAACGTGGCTTCTTCCCCTGAAGGCAATTCTACAGCTACTTTCATTCTCCCTTTAACGTCTTCCACAGGTGAGTAAGAATAGCAGCTACGCTGCACCTCTGCCAAATATCACAGACAGTTCTTAGGCTAGTCCTGCTCTTTGAAGCTCTGAGCTATCCTTTTAGCCTAACAAAAAGACAAGGTTAAAAAGAGTTTTTTAAAGAAACAATAGTTGGGCCAGGGATGGTGGCTCAGGCCTGTAATCCCAGCACTTTGGGAGGCCGAGGCGGGCAGATTCTTTGAGGCCAGGAGTTCAAGATCAGCCTGGCCAAGATGGCAAAATCCCGTCTCTACTAAAAATACAAAAATTAGCCAGGTGTGGTGACACACACCTGTAGTCCCAACTACATCGGGAAGCTGAGGCAGGAGAATCCCTTGAACCCAGGAGGCAGAGGCTGCAGTGAACTGAGATCGCACCACTATACTCCAGCCTGGGTGACAGAGCGAGACGCTATCTTAAAAAGAAAGAAACAGTTGGGAGGCTGACACGGGTTGATTGCCTGAACTCAGGAGTTCGAGACCAGCCTGGGCAACATGGCGAAACCCAGTCTCTACTAAAAATACAAAAATTAGGCAGCATGGTGACACACCGGCTACTGCAGCTACTCGGGAGGCTGAGACATGAGAACCGCTTGAGCCCAGAAGGTGGAAGGCGGAGGTTGCAGCGAGCTGAGATCGCACCATTGCACTACTCCAGCTTGGAAAGAGTGAGACTCTGACGGGCAGGGCAGGGCAGGGCAGTTGGGTCAGGCATGGTGGCTTAGGCGTGTAATCCCAGCACTCGGGAGGATTGCTTGAGCTCAGGAGTTCGAGACCAGCCTGGGCAACATGGTAAAACCTCGTCTCTACTAAAAATACAAAAATTAGCTGGGTGTGGTGTGCACGCCTGTAGTTCCAGCTACTTGAGAGGCTGAGATGGGAGGACTGCTAGAACCTGGGGGTTGGAGGCTGCAGTGAGCTATGATCATGCCACTGCACTGCAGCCTGGGCAACAGAACAAGACTCTGTCTCTAAAAACAACAACAAAATCACTAGTGGTGCCTGTTTATTGTCACAAAATATTATTACAAAAGTTTTTCAGCAAACAACTAAATACTGAATTACAATAAATGAGAGAAATATACAATCTTGTACATTACTGAAACCACTGAAAGTTTATTCAAATTTTTGCGCAAAGGATTTATTAGCATCAATGCCATTCATGAAACATTTCTCATTACTACAATACTGAAGGAAGGAAAAATATTAGTTCAGCACGCATTTTAATGTTGCAAAGGAAAGACAACTCAGCAAGCTTCAGAAAACGGCAGAGATGGGGTCCTAACAGAAGCAATGAAGACTCCTGGATTTACCCACGGACACCCTTCGGCCAGCGGCTTGGTCTCTCCCAGAATCCGTTTACAGACTTGCTCAGCCTGTGGCAGAGCCCAGGGATCATGCAGGAAGAAGCGGGGATGTGCTTGATTTTGGAATTGGTCATTTTAAGATGCTTTTAGTAAGATGGTTTCACGTCTACGCCCAAGTCTGGCCAACCAAGAAGCATCCACGTAGACAGCTCAGAGACACTCCCGTACCGGAGAGCAGGGAGGAGCGGCGGGAAGGTGCCCTACGAGCAGCTCAGAGACACGCAGCTCAGAGACACTCCCGTACCGGAGAGCTGGGAGGAGCGGCGGGAAGGTGCTCTACGAGCAGCTCAGAGACACGCAGCTCAGAGACACTCCCGTACCGGAGAGCTGGGAGGAGCGGCGGGAAGGTGCCCTATGAGCAGCAGTGCCCAGGAGCACCGGCCACCTCCCTGCGCACCAGACACCCTCTCCCGCCCCACGGGAGATCACTTAGTTTCTCCACCTTGCAGCGGCAGTGGGGCTCAGAGTCACCCACACTCCACACATCCCTCTGTTCACACCCTGCCTCCAGCGCGGCTCCCTCTACCTACAAACCCCCACAAAGTGGTCAACGCTGGGACGACGAAACCTTTCCTCTCAGGTATTATATACTTTGCAAGGCTTGGAAATAAGCTACTGCGTTGGTCTAAAGCTACTCCGGCCATGTGAAGAAACAAGAATGTGCCCTGAAGAGGACTGTGGAGAAACCTCTGAGGCCCCTTCCAGAGCAAGGCCCACTCACTTGACCAGATTCCTCATGATGTTCAGGGAGGACCCTTTGTACCCCGATCCAAAATGATTCCAGTGGTTCAGGTAGTGAAAGAGCTGATACAACTGAAGGCGCTTCTCGAATCCTGGGGCCTTGGGGATTTTGCCGTGGTAGGCGGAGTAAAAGGAGCTGCTAAAGCCCCCAAACATGCCAGCTATTGCCAGCTCATATTCCGAGTGGCCGTAGAAAGAAGCTGGGTCAAAAATGACCGGCCCAGAGGAATCCTCTGCTACGTTTCCGCCCCAGAGATCCCCGTGGAGTAAGGCTGGGATGATCTGCAGGTCACGGAACAGGTCAGGGATCTTTAACTGCAGGGAGGAAAATGGAGCCTCAGCAAACTGATCAAAGCATGCCCGAGGAGTGCCCATGTTTCCCTAAGCACCACTCCAGGTGTCTGCCCCCAGCCCAGGCAGCAGCGGATAGGACGCCACCAGGCACCCGCTTCCCATCCAGAACCAGACTCAGAGGTGGCCTCACCTGCCCTGGCACCTCCCCAACCTCAGGCAAGAGGGGCGTGTGGCAGCTGCTGGGCGTGCAGTGAGGCCCCGCTCACCTGCAGAGCAGACCAAAGCTGGAGGGCCTCCCTGTCCCCAGATTCCTTCTCCACCATGTCCATCTGGGGCTGAATGCGCTGCCGGGCATAGAACACAACCCAGTCCTCCTGCCAGTCATTCACCTGCACAGTGACAGCAAAAGCAAAAGCAGAGTTCACTGGAAAATGCCAGAAGTGAGGGAGAGCTCAGCTACCCACAAGGATCTGAAAGTGGAGAGGGCTGCAGGGGCGGCACGTGGAAGGGGTGGCAGTCACAGGAGACTGAGGGGGGAACCACATCCTGGGGGGAACTGGAGTCTCATGGACATGCTGAGACCTCAGATCCTATCCCAGGAGCAGTGGGAAGCATGGAGATGCTTCAGGATCCGCTCTGTAGCCTTCCAAGAATGAAGAGGCTTCTAGAACATTTTCTTTCTTTCTTTTTTTTGAGATGGAGTTTCGCTCTCATCACCCAGGCTGGAGTGCAGGGGCGCGATCTCAGCTCACTGCAACCTCCGCCTCCTGGGTTCAAGCGATTCTCCTGCCTCAGCCTCCCAAGTAGCTGGGATTACAGGCGTCTGCCACCACGCCCGGCTAATTTTTTTGTATTTTTAGTAGAGACAGGGTTTCGCCATGTTGGTCAGGCTGGTCTCAAACTCCTGACCTCAGGTGATCCACTCGCCTCGGCCTCCCAAAGTGCTGGGATTACGGGCGTGGGCCGCCGCACCCGGCCCTACTCCTGCTTTCTTTACGTTGTTTTGTAGCAGCTGACAACAGTTCATCAGATGATGCACCAGAACTTCACCCAGCGGTCCTCTGGATTTTCCTTATCATAGTACCAAGAGTGGTGCAGCAAATACCCTTGTGTCTGTGCCATTTTGTATACGTGTCAATATGCCTGTAGAATAAACCCTGAAGGATAATTACTGGGTCAGAGCAGAAGTCCATTTCAAATTTTGAAAGAGGGGCCAGGTGCAGTGGCTCATGCCTGTAATCCCAGCGCTTTGGGAGGCCAAGGCGGGCAGATCGCTTGAGGTCAGGAGTTGGAGACCAGCCTGGCCAACTTAGTGAAACCTCGTCTGTACTAAAAATACAAAAATTAGCCGAATGTGGTGGCGGGCACCTGCTACACAGGAGGCTGAGGCAGGAGAACTGATTGAACCCGGAAGCTGGAGGTTGCAGTGAGCCAAGATCGCACCACCACACTCTAGCCTAGGTGATGGAGAGACTCCATTTCAAAAAATAAATAAATTTTTTTTAAAAATTTGAGGCCGGGCGCGGTGGCTCAAGCCTGTAATCCCAGCACTTTGGGAGGCCGAGACGGGCGGATCACGAGGTCAGAAGATCAAGACCATCCTGGTTAACACGGAGAAATCCCGTCTCTACTAAAAAATACAAAAAACTAGCTGGGCGAGGTGGCGGGCGCCTGTAGTCCCAGCTACTCGGGAGGCTGAGGCAGGAGAATGGCGTAAACCCGGGGGGCGGAGCTTGCAGTGAGCTGAGATCCGGCCACTGCACTCCAGCCTGGGCGACAGAGCGAGACTCCGTCTCAAAAAATAAATAAATAAAAAATTTGAAAGGGGGACGGGAGTGGTGGCCAATATCTGTAATCCCAGCACTTTGCATGGCTGAGGTGGGAGGATCACTTGAGGTCAGGAGTTTGAGACCAGCCTGGGCAACATAGTGAGACCTGTCTCTACAAAAAAATTAAAAATTAGCCAAGTGTGGTGGTGCATGCCTGTAATCCCAGCGACATGGGAGGCTGGAGCAGAGGATGGCTTAAGCCCAGAAAGTTTGAGGCTGCAGTGAGCTATGATCGTACCACTGCACTCCAGCCTGGGCAACAGAGTGAGGCTCTATCTTTTAAAATTAAAATTTAAATTTAAACTAAATTTAAAATTTTTTTGATAGGCGTCGCCAAGTTCCTCTCCATAAAGATCGTTGCCCCAAGTCACACTCGCGTCACAGGGTGCCACGGTGCCTGCTCCCTCGTGCTCTGGCTGGCACACATGCAGCACACTTTTTGGTCTTTACAGGTTCAATATGTAACAAAAGATATCTCACTGTACTACTTTTTACTTTTTATTTTTTTCTTTTTCTTTTTTGAGATGAAGTTTCACTCCTGTCACCCAGGCTGGAGTGCAGTGGTGTGATTTTAGCTCACCACAATCTCCATCTCCCAGGTTCAAGCAGTTCTCCTGCCTCAGCCTCCTGAGTAGCTGGGATTACAGGCGTGAGCCACCACGCCCGGCTAATTTTTTTGTATTTTTAGGAGAGACGGGGTTTTGCCATGTTGGTCAAGCTGGTCTCAAACTCCTGACTTCAGGTGATCTGCCCGCCTTAGCCTCCCAAAGTGCTGGGATTACAGGCATAAGCCACCGTGCCCGGCCCAGAACATTTTCTTTCTTTCTTCATTTTTGTGAGACAAGGTCTTACTCCATTACCTAAGCTGGAGTGCAGTGGCACGATCTCGGCTCACTGCAGCCTGAACTTCCAGGCTTAAGCAAAATCCTCCCACCTCAGCCTTCCAAGTGGCTAGAACTACAGGCACGCACCACCACACCTGGCTAATTTTTTTGTATTTTCACTAGAGAGGGGGTTTCGCCATGTTGGCCAGGCTGGTCTGGAACTCCTGGGCTCAAGCAATCCTCCCACCTCAGCCTCCCAAAGTGCTGGAATTACAGGCAAGAGCCACCAGGGCTTTTTTATATTTAAAAAAAAAAAAAATTGTTTTTTTTTTCTGCTAAAGCAACTGGCTAACATTTCCTCTTAATTTCCACTCACACTGGAGTACCGAGGCCAGAGCTGGCTGACCTGCCCCGAACCCGTGGGTCACTTCTGACATCTTTCCAGACAGCCCCTCCCCATACAGTGGTGACAGGAAAAGTCACACGGAGCCCCGTTGAGAAGGACCCTGAGAGAGGACATCCAAGACACAGGTGCTCACCACCCAGGAGGGAAGGGAGACAGACACACAAGACTGGAGTAGCACAGGATGCCAACATCATGCATCACGCAGTCATGCGCACACACGTGTGCACACATACACATACGCACACACGTGTGCACATATGCACATACATGCGTGCACACACAAACACGCACATGCATGCATACACATATGCACACACACGTGCACACACATAGTGTGAGTACAGCCACGAGAGGAAGGGGGCAGAGCTGGCTAAAAACCCCCCAGAGCAGGCAGGACCAGAGAGCACCACTCCCCGCCCCTAAGCAGGTTTCTGGACAACCTTCCCCATTTCAAAGTCTTTCTACTGCCCCTGTGCCCACCAGGAAACCCCGGAAGTTTTCTAGGTTCATCTGTATCCTCCTCCCGAGGATAGGACGGGAGCCCTATCCATGCCACACGTGCTGGGCATCGGGCAGCACTCCCCGGGCTGAAACGTGGAGGGAAGCAACCATCAAATCATACAACCAAAAGCTAACAAACCCTTGTCATTGCACCCTCTTTGAGAGTTTAGTATACCTAAAACAAAACATTTGTGAAATTCCCTCATTTTTACCCACCTGGAAATCCAGCTCCTAACTTGCTGCTCCTCCTCCGTTTCTTCATGCTTACCTAGCATATTAGGTGGGTCAATCTCACGTCAACCTCTCAAACATCAGCAAAGAAAAAACGGTGCAAATACTTTTACTAAAGCTCACAAAAAAAGGAAGGGGGTGTGTTCCCCCGACCCTTGTGTCCGAACTGCTGACCTGATTGTGAAATAGAGGCAAACGCTGTGCACTCACCTGGGGGAGGTATCCACAGCACGTCACCACGTCAAACCCAAACTGGTCCACAAAGGGCCGTTCCTCCTGCCCACCTCCTCTCCCTTGCAAGCAAAAGAAAAAAAAGAAAGAAAATCAGTTCCAAGGAATCCCAGCGCCCGCTCTCTAAACTGAGTCACCTTCAGACACGACGTCAGTGAGCACCTACCAGCTTATGCCCCTGCCAGAGACAAACAGGGCCTGGGTCTCCACCAGCTCACCGAACACCCCGAACAGAGCCTGCTCCAGCAGACGTCAGCATCAAAGACACCAGCTGCTCCCAAGCAGTGGCACCAGAGGACACGCACAGGACAGGGAGCCTGTGGCACCTCAGGGGACCTGTCTCGCATCCCAACAGGAACCAGAGGACACACGCAGGACAGGGAGCCTGCGGCACCTCAGGGGACCTGTCTCGCATCCCAACAGGAACCAGAGGACACACACAGGACAGGGAGCCTGCGGCACCTCAGGGGATCTGTCTCGCATCCCAACAGGACACGCAGGAGTGTGGGGGAGGACCACACTGTGACAGGAGAAAAAAGAGGAGGATGTTCTTAAAGAGGAAAAAGACACTTTGGGAGGCCGAGGTGGGCGGATCACCAGAGGTCAGCAGTTTGAGACCGGCCTGCCCAACATGGTGAAACCCCGCGTCTACTGAACATAGAAAAATTAGCCAGGCGTGGTGTCAGGCGCCTATAATCCCAGCCACTAGGGAGGCTAAGGTAGGAGAATCGCTTGAACCCAGGAGGCGGAGGTTGCGGTGACCTGAGGTCACGCTAATGCACTCCAGTCTGGGGAACAAGAGCAAAACTCTGTTTCAAAAAAAATAAATAAATAAAAAATAAAGAGGAAAAAGAATCTGCCCCCAATCGATCAGAAAGGATGGCTCTCAGTGGCAAACCTGGTGCCATGTGTGTCAAATAAACTACTGTGCTTTGAAATAATCTCATGCAGGGCGCAGTGGCTCGTGCCTGTAATCCCAGCACTTTGGGAGACCTGAGGTGGTCGGATCACCTGAGGTCAGGAGTTCGAGACCAGCCTGGCCAACATGGTGAAATTCCATCTCTACTAAAAACACAAAAATTAGCTGGACGTGGTGACAGGCACCTGTAATCCCAGCTACTTGAGAGGCTGAGGGAGGAAAATCGCTTGAACCCAGGAGGCAGAGGTTGCGGTGAGCCGAGATTGTGCCACTGCACTCCAGCCTGGGGAAAAGAGCGAAACTCCATCTCAGAAAAAAAAAGAAAGAAAAAGAAAAGAAATAAGCTCACTCCTCTGCAGTCTCCCTAACTCAAGAAAAATCCCAATGGACTACACTCCGTAAGACTGGAGGAAGGGGCAGGACAGGCGACCTGGGGGGCCTCTCAGTGGATCCTCGCCACACAGGCAGCCTGGGGGGACCCGTCATGGACCCTCACAGAACAGACTAACAGCACGTCTCGTACAGCAGACCCTTGGTGATCTGTTCCGATCGTCAGCTAATCTGCCCACATTTACCACGTGGGCTGCGCACAGATTCCAAATGTCAGCAGATTACAATACCGGAAAATTCCCTCAATCCTGACAGCGCGTTACGCTCTAGAAAGGTCAGACACGATGGCTGTAATTCTGAGCCTCAAGTATGACTGTTTTACAGGAACAGACCCTGTGGTCCAAGCTCCGGCTTTTTATAGAAAGCCAGAGAGCCTCTGCTTACTCTCCCCGGGAACGAGAGGTAAAAGCAACTGGAACACTAGGCGCATCTCGCGTCCAGCAGATGTTTTGTCTTTCAAATGCATTTAGGACACAACAGACGCATCACATTCCCCGTGTTCAGTGCACTGAGATGCGGCTCGAGGCTGACGTTCCCTTGCTCTGGCATCAGCCCACGTCCGACCCTCCCATGGCTGCTGCACGGCCCCACCTGAGCCCACCCTGGCTGAACGTCCTCCTCTAGGCAGGAGCACCCACGGCCCGCGCAGTGCCATACCCACTGTGCCCGCCTCTTTCAGGAGCGTCTCTCCACGCTTCTTGTTCTCAAGGTGTAAATCGGCCAGCTGGGCTCCAAGCTTTGCAGCATGACTGTCAAATCAAAAGGCAGCAACTAAACAGACGATACACAGAAAAAGGCAACACACCCACTGCTCAGTCTCAGGACACACAGAGAGGGTCTGTTTTTCTTTTCGAGACGGAGTCTCACTCTGTCGCCCAGGCTGGAGCACAGTGGCGTGATCTCAGCTCACCGCAAGCTCCACCTCCCAGGTTCAAGCGATTCTCCTGCCTCAGCCTCCTGAGTAGCTGGGATTACAGGCGCCTGCCACCACGCCTGGCTAATTTTTTGTATTTTTAGTAGAGGCGGGGTTTCACTGTGTTGGCCAGGCTGGTCTCAAACTCTGACCTCAAGTCATCCGCCCACCTTGGCCTCCCAAAGTGCTGGGATTACAGGTGTAAGCCACCGTGTCCAGCTAGTAGGTCGGACATTTTGAGGACCGAAAGTCGGTTCTGGTGAAGCAAGAGGGGGATAAAGGTGTTGATTATTTGACAATCTTTCCCAGCCTCGTCCGAGTTTGCAATGGGGTTTTTTTTTTTTCCTCTCTTTTTTGAGACTGAGTCTCGCTCTATTGCCCAGGCTAGAGTGCAGTGGTGCGATCTCAGCTCACTGCAACCTCTGCCTCCTGGGTTCAAGTGATTCTCCTGCCTCAGCCTCCTGAGTAGCTGGAATTAGAGGCGCCTGCCACCATGCCCAGCTAATTTTTGTACTTTTGGTAGAGATGGGGTTTCACCATGTTGGCCAGGCTGGTCTCAAACTCCTGACCTCAAGTGATTCACCCGCCTCAGCCTCCCGAAGTGTTGGGATTCCAGGCGTGAGCCACCGTGCCCGGCCCGCAGCAAGGCCTTTGGTCAGTATCTCACTCTGGGAGATTCCTCTTGCTTCCGCCCCTGGTTGCAGAGAGTGCCTGCCGTTCATTCTGCAGAACTCATGATATGTGGAATCACGGGCTCTATGCATCACACTCCTTAAAATGATGCCCCCAGTACAAGCTTCAGTCATCAGAGAAACCACTTGGTGGAAAAGAAAGTCAGCTGGGGCTGGTGTGGAGGGCACCTGCTCAGATAACAAAGCCAGCTGGGGGCTGGTGTGAAGGCACACCTGCTCAAGTAACAAAGCCAGCCTGGGGCTGGTGTGGAGATGCACCTGCTCAGGTAATAAAGCCGGCCTGGGGGTGGTGTGGCGGGCACCTGCTCAGGTAATAAAGCCAGCCAAGGGGTGCTGTGGAGACGCACCTGCTCAGATGCCTCATGTCCACATGCTCCATCACCAGCACGCTCCCACCTCCTGGGGCATCCAGAACCTTGATGGGCTTGGGCACTCTCACTGTGTTTGTTTTCAGGATGGCAGTTAAACTTGCCATCTCACCTTCAAACATTCTTCTGGCCTGTCAGAAAAATACCAGAGGAAGTGGAAATGGGGGGAGGCAAGGTTACTTCCGGGAAGGTTCTGTAGATACGTTTTCCTCTGGCATTACAACTTCAAACCAAGACTATCCTGACAGGATTCCATATACATGGACAGTGTTTTCCAAGGCACTTGCCAACAGGGGAGGCTACAGGTTCAGAGGCTGGACTGGAAGAACAGGACTTCAGCTTGCCAGTGTTGGACGATATTTGTGTGCTATGGTTGAATCGGGGGGTTCTCTGGGGAGAGGAAAGCCAAAGGCACTAAGATCCGGCAACAGCGGGACTTCGAACGTGGGTTACCTGTCGGTGTCCTCAGACAACACCTCAACTGCAGTCCTGTTCCACCTACAGAATACAGACTCACACAGCCTCTCAGCTGCAGGCGGCACCCTGACTGCCTATGCCAGTGACCTGGGGTCACTTTTCACCTGCATAGACCACCAAGTTCTATGTCACCTCCTACCTAGCACTGGAAACCACCTCATCTTGAGATGCCGTTTCCATCTGAATCCCCAGGACCACAGTGACTCCTCCCTTCGGTCCCCCTGCTCACCACACAGCAGTGATCCCTGCAGAAGAGGTCAGAGCCAGCGGCCTTTCCTTTCCTCCTGCTACACACACCACTGCCCTGCCCACTCTTCCATCCTCACCTGGGGTTCCGCCCTTACACACACAGACACATACCACACACACAACATATACACAGACACACAACACACACATATAGACACACATACGACACATGCACACCGTATACACACAACACACACACACAACATACACACACACACACACAACATACACAGCAGTGATCCCTGCAGAAGAGGTCAGAGCCAGCAGCTTTTCCTTTCCTCCTGCTACACACACCACTGCCCTGACCACTCTCTGATCCTCACCTGGGGCTCCACCCTTACACACACAGACACATACCACACACACAACATATACACAGACACACAACACACCCACAACATATACACACAACACACACATAACATATACACACACAACACAAACACAACATATACACACACATACATACGACATAGACACACCATACACACACAACATACAGACACAACATACACATAGACACACACACAACATACACAGCAGTGATCCCTGCCGAAGAGGTCAGGGCCAGCAGCCTTTCCTTTTCTCCTGCGACACACACCACTGCCCTGCCCACTCTCCTATCCTCACCTGGGGCTCCACTCTTACACACACACAGACACACAATGCACACACACAACACACATACAATGTACACACAGACGGACACACAACATACACACAGACACACACACTCTTCTCATGCTCCTGACTTCCAGCTGTCTCAGCCTTCTTTCAGTTCTTCAGAGTCCCCACCTCCTCAGCCTCAGTGCCCCACCATGGCTGCCATGTCACCGCTGCTTGGAACACTCTTTTTTTTTGAGATGGAGTCTCGTTCTGTCACACAGCAGGCTGGAGTGCAATGGCGCCATCTCGGCTCACTGCAACCTCCACCTCCCGCGTTCAAGTGATTCTCCTGCCTCAGCCTCGGAGTAGCTGGGATTATAGGTGCGCGCCACCATGCCTGGCTAATTTTTGTATTTTTGTTGTGGTGTTTGAGACGGAGTTTCACTCTTGTTGCCCAGGCTGGAGTACAATGGCACAATCTCGGCTCACTGCAACCTCCGCCTCCCAGGTTCAAGCGATTCTCCTGCCTTCACCTTCCCAAGTAGCTGGGATTACAGAGGTGCGCCACCACGCCCGGCCTAAATTTGTATTCTTAGTAGAGACGGGGTTTCACCATGTTGGCCAGACTGTTCTTGAACTCCCAACCTCAGGTGATCCGCCCTCCTCGGCCTCCCAAAGTTCTGGGATTACAGGTGTGAGCCACCGTGCCCAGCCCTTTTTTGTTTTGTTTTGAGACAGAGTCTCACTCTGTTACCCAGGCTGGAGTGCAATGGCACAATCTCAGCTCACTGCAACCTCTACCTCCCGGGTTAAAGCAATTCTCATACCTCAACCTCGCGAGTAGCTGGGATTATAGAAATACGCCATCACACCCAGCTAATTTTTGTATTTTTAGTAGAGATAGTGGTTCACCATGTTACCCAGGCTGGTCTCGAACTCCTGACCTCAGGTGATCTGCTCACCTCGGCCTCCCAAAGTGCTGGAATTACAGGCCACTGTGAGCCACTGTGCCTGACCTCCTCTTGATTATTTATCTGTCCCTCGCATCCTTGTGTAATTGGTTTTCTCCCATCCTCCTCCCTTATGTTAATCTTTTGTACTACTGCACCCCAGCGGATGCTTAACTGTACCTTGGGTCTACTCTGGAGATCAGTGTTCTTGGCTTTAGTAAGAAACTTAGGGCTACATCCAGGTGGATATTTCTGTGGCGGAGCCTTGGCCTCTAGCTGGTTCACAGACCCTCCTTCCCATCTCTCTGCATTTTGTTTTCAGTATTACCCCTTATTTTCTCCTCAAGTAGTTACTCTAGTAAAAGTATAGCTAGGATCCAGTTCTCCCTTTATTTTATAAAGACAATGTTTTGAAAATTCTGCTTACACAGTGCTTATCTTCTTTCTCAGTAACCTTCTCTCTCTTGAGGAGTGATAACAATATTTATAAAGTGTTTAGAATGGACTGTGGGTTGGGTGAGGTGGCTCCACACCTGTAATCCCAGCACTTTGGGAGGCCGAGGCAGACGAGTTGCTTGAGGCCAAGAATTTGGGATCAGCCTGGGCAACATAGTGAGACCCTGTGTCTACAAAAAATGTAAAAATTAGCCAGGCTTGGGCTGGGCGCAGTGGCTCACGCCTGTAATCCCAGCACTTTGGGAGGCCGAGGCGGGGGGATCACCTGAGGTCAGGAGTTCAAGACCAGCCTGGTCAACATGAGCCGAGATTGCACCACTGTACTCCAGCCTGGGCAACAGAGCGAGACTCCGTCTCAAAAAAAAAAAAAAAATCATTCTCCTAGTTATTTACGTTTAATTCCCAGGACTGAATCCCACTTTCCATGATGTGGGATCATCTTATTCTGGAACACGGATGTTCTCTCAAGACTCCCCTTCAAACCTTTGTTCTAGAGAGATCAGCTACGGTTTTTTTTTTGTTTTTTTTTTTTGAGACAGAGTCTTGCCCTGTTGCCCAGGCTGGAGTACAATGGTGCAGTCTCTCAACCTCACCTCCCTGGTTCAAGTGATTTTCCTGCCTCAGCCTCCTGAGTATCTGGGACTACAGGTGTGCACCTGGCTAATTTTTGTATTTTTAGTAGAGACGGGGTTTCACCATGTCGGCCAGGCTGGTCTCGAACTCCTGACCTCCACCCACCTCGGTCTCCCAAAGTGCTGGGATTCCAGGCGTGAGCCACGGCGCCCGGCCAGAGAACGAATCTAACACAAGGACAGAGCCTGCCAGGGCGTGGTGAGGCGCAGCAGCTGGCCTGGGGGCAGCACCTCCGCCCCGTTTCCCAACGCACTGGCCGAGGCTCACGGGGGACGGGCACCTCCAGAGCCACGGAAGCTGAGGACTTAACCAGCTTCACCGGCTAGAACGACCCCACTTAACCAGCACCGCAGGGCACGAACCCCGGGAGCAAGACTGCAGCGGCCAGACCCGCCCCACTGCCCGCAGCGCCCCCGAGAAAAGTTCACGGAGAACAGGAGGCGTGGGGCGGCCGCGGTTCCTGCTCCGGACAGTTCCCCGCAGGTGCAAACTCGTCCGGACGCCCCGGACGCTTCCGCCGTCGCCGTTCACCGTTCACCGCTCGCCCCGCGCAAAGGGTTCTCCCCAAGGGGCGGCGGCGGCAGGCCCGCGAGAGCCAGCCCCGGCGTCCGGCGGGAGAAGCCCAGGCCGCGCCCCGCGCCGAGGCCCGCGACCCTCCCCGGGACGGAGACCGGTCCCCCGGCCCGCCCGACCCGCGGCCTGACCTCCGCCTTGGGGTTCACTTTCACGAACACTCGTCCTCGATCCGTGTCGTAGCTCCGGCCCTGGCTGATGCACCCGCCCCCCGTGTGGCCCGTGGCCCTGACGGAGCCGCAGCCCAGCTCGCGCCTCAGCAGCTCCTCCATGTTCCCGCCCCGGCCGCGGACCCGCCCCGGGCCTGACAGAGACGCGGGAGACGGCGGCCGAGCAGGCAGACGTGAGACCGCGCGGGGATTGGGCGGGGGCGGGTGGGGGCGGGGTCCGGCCGCAGAAAGAGCGCTAGGAATGGGTGAAAAGCGAGCAGGGGCGGGGCCTGGCCGCAGAGACGAGCACAGGGATTGGGTGGCGGGAAGGGGCGGGGCGTGGCCGCAGAGTTGAGCGCTGGGATTGGGGGGGAAGGGGAGGGGCCGGGAGGCAGGTAGGCGCGGGGGATTGGGTGGGGATGAGATGACGTCAGGGGGCGGGGCCTGGCCGACCCGGGGGTCCCCTCCGCCTGTCCCGCCAACCCCGACCCCGACGGTTTGGGTTCAACCCTCCTGCACAAAACAAGTGGAAATGCTGATGGAAATAGTTAAAATAATATTTTCCAAAGAGCTGACCCAATAGCAAGGGACGTCAGCCCAAGGTGTGGGTACCGGGAGCCGAGAATGTTAAGACTCTGCTTTTCCCCGGGCGTTTGCTGAACCCGAGAACAGGGAGTGGCGGGCGCGCTCGGGGTGCAGGTGCAGTGGAGACACCTCCGCTAGACCTGGGCCCCGAGGCTGACAGCTAACGGTAGCCCTGCTGTTGCGGCCAGTGTCAGGCGTCAGCTGGGCTGGCCAGGAATTCCCAGAAACCTGACAAGGCAGGATTCGGGGTGGGTCGTGCGGAGGGCCTCGGCTTCCCCGCTTCCGAGGCCTTCCGACCTGGGCTGAGCCCGGCTACCCGAGTCCCGGGGTCTCCTGCTCACAGACTTCTCGGCCTCCGCCCTTGCAAACGCCAGCTCCCCCCGTCCGTCTCCTGTCCTGGATCTATGTCTACATCCTACTGGTTCCGTCTCTTTGGAGAACCCTAACACAGCTCTCAACACAAGGATGAACTAACTGCAAGAAGGCCTGAAGAGGAACTCTGCCAGGAGACGAAGAGGTTTCAGCCTTCAGCAAAGGATGATTCATAGAAACCGTTCCCGTAGTCGGCCCTTGCATGGATTACAACCCTAATTAATATTACCTACGGTAAACAAAAAATTCAAGTATAGATTTTAGTCTAAAGCAACTAGGAAATCTCGCTTCCCCGGACATTGGGAGAAGCAAACACAAATCCTCTCCTGAGGCCGGGCGCGGTGGCTCACGCCTGTAATCCCAGCACTTTGGGAGGCCAAGGCAGGTGGATCACTTTATAATTATTTATTAAATGGTATGTATGTGTGTGTTCACGCACTTTTCTGTGTGTATACTGCATTTCACAATTTTAAAAAGCAAAAAAGATTAGCCGGGCGTGGTGGTGGGCTCCTGTAATCCCAGCTACTTGGGAGGCTGAGTCAGGAGAATCGCTTGAACCTGGGAGGCGGAGGTTGCAGTGAGCCGAGATGGTGCCATTGCTCCCCAGACTGGGTGACAAGAACAAAACTCCATCTCAAAAAAAAAAAAAAAAGAACAGATGAAAATCTACAAATGGTAATAGATAAACCAAGGAACACTTTAGAGAAGAATGAGAGAATTAAAAGGTACTCTAAAGGCCGTGGAGTGCGTGAACCCCTCCCTGTATGTTCCTCTCGTCGCCGTGGGCCTGTGGGATGTCCTGTTTTTTCTATGCCTTGACCCGTTGGACTTTTTTTTTTTTTTTTTTTTTGAGGATGGAGTTCTCGCTCGTGTCGCCCAGGGCTGGGCAGTGGCGGCATCTGGGGCTCACTGGGCAAGCTCCGCTCCCGGGTTCACGCCATTCTTTCTTGGTGCACTGCAGCCTCCGAGGTAGCCGGGACTACAGGCCGCCCGCCACCACACCCGGCTGAGTTTTTGTATTTTTAGTAGAGGACGGGGTTCTATCCATATGTAAGCCCCAGGATGTGTCCTCGATCTCCTGACCTTGTGAATCGGCACCCGTCTGGCTCCCAAAAGTGCTGGGCATTATAGGCTTGAGCCACCGCGCCCGGCCGTTTGGACATTTTAACTCCATGCCAGAACATGCATTTCATCAGAACTATGCACAAAGGAATAAAAGATATTTAGAAGGAGAGCTTTTTTTTATTTTTATTATTATATATATTTTGAGATGAAGATATCCACACAGGGGGTCCCCAGGCTGAGGGGCAGTGGTGGGGTGGCTATGTCAGCTCACTGTAAGCGCTCAGCCATCCCCCAGATTCCAAGCCGATTCTCCTCCGCCTTCAGGCCTCCGAGTAGCTGGGATAGCCAGTGCGCCCCAGCCACGGAGCCCGGGCTAGTTTTGTATTTTTAGTTTAGAGATGGGGTTTCACCATATTAGCCACGGGGCAGTCGGTCTCGAATCTCCTGACCCTTTGTGATCCACCCCGTCATCCGGCCTCCCCAAAAAGGCTGGCGATTAGTAGGGCTTTGAGCCACCGGCGCGCGAGCCCCGTTTGGACATTTTAACTCCATGCCAAGAACATGAACATTTTCATCAGAACTTGCAAACCATTACGTTTTTGTTGAGAACTTTTTTTTTTTTTTTTTTTGGTGATGTGGGTCTGCACACCCTGGTCGCCCCCCAGGCTGGAGGGCAGTGGTGCTATGTCAGCTCACTGCAACCTCTGCCTCCCAAGTTCAAGCGATTCTCCCGCCTCAGCCTCCAGAGTAGCTGGGATTACAGGCGCACACCACTATACCCGGCTCATTTTTGTATTTTTGGTAGAGATGGAGTTTCGCCATGTTGGCCAGGCTGGTCTTGAACTCCTGACCTCAGGTGATTTGCCTGCCTTGGCCTCCCAAAGTGCTGGGATTACAGGCATGAGCCACCATGCCTGGCCAAAAGTCACTCTTGAAAACACTTTCTCGGCCAGGCACAGTGGCGCCTGGTCCAGCTGCAGCCTCGCAGGGTACCCCCAGTGGCACCAGAAATGGCCTGCTCCACCATGGCCGGGGTGCCTGGCTGTGCAGTGGCCAGACCTCATGATTTCTCGCTCACATACCCCTCGCCACTCCATGCCTGGCAGATCTGAGATTCATACCAGTGCCATGAGCTGAGCACAGCCTGCCAGGCCAAGTGCACAGAACGAGCCCAGTGGTCCTGAGTAAAAACTTGGGCAAAGGTGCGACCGGCCACAGAGGTTTCCAGCTGGCGAAGCGACACCCCGAGGATCCCCTGACATTACCACAGAGCCTGGTGCACAGTGCACTCAGAAAGTGTCTCCCAGCCGGGCGCAGTGGCTCATGCCTGTAATCCCAGCACTTTGGGAGGCCGAGGCAGGTGGATCACCTGAGGTCAGGAGTTGGAAACCAGCCTGGCTAACATGGTGAAACCCCGTCTCTACTAAAAATACAAAAATCAGCTGGGTGCGGTGGCATGGGCCTGTAATCCCAGCTACTCGGGAGGCTGAAGCAGGAGTATCACTTGAACCCAGGAGGCGGAGGCTGTAGTCAGCTGAGATCGCACCGCTGCACTCCAAACTGGGTGACAGAGTGAGAATCTGACTCAAAAAAAAAAAGATGGTGTCTACTGTGGCCAGGGTGGCCCAGGGCAGTGGTGGAGCTGGTGGCACGTTTTCAACTTGTGGCTCCCTGAGATGCCCAGGATATGCTGATGAGTAGGATGAGTTTGGCTACTGTGCTGCAATCATCAAAAATTAAACAAAACTCTGTTGGACTTGGGTAATGCGCACACCCGGGGTGTTGGCGGGTAACGGGCACAGAACTGAGGCTCCACCCAACAGCCAATGTCAGCTGATGTAACTGGGCAGCTCCTGTGCCGGCAGCTCTAAACACCTCACATGTGCAAGGGGCCGTTCCCACTGGAGACACGGGGAAACTGAGGCCCAGAGGGGGCACTGCTGCCCAAACAACTTGGCAACCTGGCTGGGAGGCGGTGGAGTCAGGATTCCACCTCAGCCAAAGTTCTCACTCCCTCTCACCTCCAAGTACGCAAAATGAAGCTCACAACACTCACCAGGTGGGATGTGGATTAAAGACATGAACGGACAGAAACAAGTGTTCCCAGGAGGGGGTTGGCCCTAACTAGGGGGCGTAGCTGAGCCTGCCGGAGCCTTTCTGTCCTCCACGTGGCTCCTGTCAGCCTGTGTGGGGTCTGGCCGTCTCAGGGCTGCCCACAGCTGGTGCAGCCTCTGCAGGGGCCTGGGGCATCTCTTCCCACCAGCCTGCGGCGTCACCTCCATTCTAAGTGAAGCTGTCGTGGTGCTAGGAAGAGCAGATGGGTCCCCCCGTACCCTGGGGAATGGCTGTGCCTGCTCTGGCTTTGAAAGGTGGCGCCTGTTGAAGGGTCCCCGTTCATCCACCTCCTTCCTGTCCTCCCCTCCTCCAGTGCCCTGCTCCTTCTGGCAGCCCCGCCTCCCCCTCAGACGCAGCTGCTGACCTCCCCAGGCAGGGGCCTGGGCTGAGACCAGGGAGCAATGCTCCCCCTGCCCTCCTTGAAGCCAGTCCTGCTTGACCCACTCAAAACCCAAGATTCTCCCCACGGCAGGCACTGGTGCTGGGGGAGGCTGCCCGTGCAGGCCGCTGTGGGGGCCGTGACCAGCTTAGGAGCTGCCACGTAGCTCAGAACGGGTTGCCTTTGGCCACCAACAGCTGGAGCACCCGCTCCAATTGAAGCCTGTATGTTTAGCCTGCATCCCTCTCCCTGACAACTGAGGGCTTTTCAAGCTCCCCAGAGCCTGAGTGGGAACCCTGGCGGCTCTGAACTGTAGAGCCAGGCGGGAACGGGGGGCGGGAGGGTCTGCTCGAACTTTCCGGAACAGAAACGATAGAGCACTCATGTGAGCCCAGACCCGTCCCATCTTCTCTACTCGGGTCCGCCTGGTGTGAACCATCGGGGCAGAAACCTGGCAGGAGGTGGGGCAAGAACACAAGGACACAAGCCTTGGAGGCTGGACACTCTAGTGTCCACTGGCGTGGGGTGTGTACACCCAGGGTCTGAGCCTTGGAGGCTGCAGAACACCTAGCATGAGGTGTGGACGCCTGGGGTCCAGGACAGGCAGCAGCCACGTAGAGCTGGGCAGGCCCGAGCCGCAGCCTGCCCAGGGATCAGCGCTGCCCTCCCCAGG